TAGCACCTGGTTTCTCCCTAACCCCACATTGGCTCCCTCTATCAAGATATCTCTTTCATTCCTTTCCCCCTCCATCCCTCCTTCAACTTGACCTTCTCCATTGCTCATGTTCCCATCCCCCATCCCACCCCTTCCACCACCCTCCCACTTTAGCCAGAAATCTTAACTGTTTTCCCATCCTTGGACCCCCCATGTGTGTCCCTCTTAAGGTCCCTTTTCTTACTTAGCTTCTCTGGAGTTGTCTTTTCTTTACATCTAATATCCACCTGTGTGTGAGTACTGTAACATGAATAATGAAAACCCAGAGACAGATATAGGGCTTCAAGCTGAAGATTAGAAAGGCAAAGCAGTCAGCCAATACCTTTTACTTCTACCTCAGATCAAAATGGTGATATCCTGTCTCCAGGAATCCTCAGAGTGCAATATTCAGAGGCAATATGCTCTCCATAAATCCTCGTAGGCAAAGGTTGACTACACTGCTCTCCACCAAGCTGCAGACTGCTGTTCTCTGCGTTCCTGTCTCCTCACACCTTATTATCCTCTCCCCATCCACCCATATCACTCCTGCTTCCACCTATACAGTGCTAGGATTAAAGGTGTGTGACTCCAAGTTCTAGGATCACATTTGTGTGAGCTGTTTCTCTTTCAGACTGGATCAATTTCTTGTAGCTAGTGTGGCCTTGAACTAACAGAGATCCATCTGCCTCTTGTCTTCTGAGTAGTGGGATTAAAGGTGTGTGCCATACCTGCCTGGCTCTATGGCTGTGGCCTGCTTTGTATTTTGATCTCCAGTGGCTTTATTAAATCATAAATAATATATCACCACAGAGCACACACCATGTTTGTCTTTCTGGGTGTGGGCTACCTTACTAAGGTTTTTTGTTTTGTTTTCTTTTCTAGTGCCATCCATTTGCCTGAAAATTTCAAGATGTTATTGTTTTTTACCACGAACTAGTACTCCCTTGTGTAAATGTACACAATATATTTATCCATCCTTCAGTTGAGAGGCATCTAGTTTGTTTCCAGGTTCTGGCTCTTATAAATAATGCTCCTATGAACATGGTTGAACAATGCCTTGTAGTATGACTTTGCTTCTTTGGGTATATCCCCAACACTGACATACCTAGGTCTTGATGTAGATCAATTCCAAGTTTTCTGAGAAAGAACCATACTGATTTCCAAAGTGGCTGTACAAGTTTGCACTCCCACCTGCAATGGAGGAGTGTTCCCCTTTCTCCACATCCTCTCCAACATAAATTGTCACTGGTGTTTTTGATCTTAGCCATTTTGATAGGTATAAGATGGTAATCGAAGACATTTTGACTTTCTTTTCCCTGATGGCTAATGATGCTGAACAATTCCTTGATGTCTTTTAGCCATTTGAGTTACTTCTGTGGAGAATTCTCACTTGAGATCAGTACCCTAAATTTTTAATTAAATTATTTGGGTCTTTCTTTGGTGTCTATTTTCTTGAGTTCTTTAGACATGTTGGAGATCAGCCCTCTGTCAGACGTGGGGTTGGTGAAGATCTTTTCTGATTTTACAGGCTGCCATTTTGTCTTATTGACTGTATACTTTGCCTTACAGAAGCTTCTCAGTTTCAGGAGGTCAAATTTATTGATTGTTGCTCTCAGAGTCTGGACCACTGGTGTTATATTTAGGAAGTGAGCTCCTGTGCCCATGTGTTCAAGGCTACTTCTCCCTTTCTCTTCTATCAGGTTCAGTGCCACTGGATTTATGTTGAGGTCTTTGATCGATTGGACTTGAGTATTGCCCGTGGGGATGAATAAGGATCTATTTGCATTCCTCTATAAGTCAACATCCAGTTAAGCCAGCACCATTTGTTGAAGATGCTTTCATTTTTCCATTGTTGACCACAGAAAGTCTTTTTTTTTTAATTTGAATTAGAAACCAGATAGTTTTACATGTCAATGCCAGTTACCTCTCCCTCCCCTCCTCCTCAACCACCCTACAGCAAGTCTTTTAAAGGAAAAACATTGAATTCGGTGGCTTACAGTTCAGAGGTTCAGTCCATTTTCATCATGAACTGACCTGGCATTGTTCAGGCAGACAGGATGCTGGAGAGGTAGCTTGTACAGACAACAGGAAGTGTCTACACAACTGAGTGTAGCTTGACCTCAAAGTCTGCCTTCACAGTAACACATTTCCTGCACCAAGGCCACACTTACTCTAACAATGCCACACTTCTCAATAGCCATTCCTTAGAGCTTATAAGGGGTGAATTGCATTCAAATTATCACACTGTCCTTTCGGGTTTTTTTTTTTTTTTTAGTATAATTAGTTATCCTGTGTCTCTTAATTAGAGAGTGGTTAAGATCATTTATATTTATCTGTTGACAATTATTTATTTATTTACCATGATTTTATTGTATGTTCTGGTTCATTCACATGCTATTTACCTTTATGAATCATCACATCTATTTTTGACTTTCTCATCCTTGTCTGAATTGATAACATCAATACCTTCATCTTCATGTTTGAATCCACTTTGAGAACACTGGCCATTTCCAAAACTAAACAATTAGATTATTTGTCAGCAGTATGAGAATCTCAGTATTCCAGGATTTGTCAGTGAGGAGTTGTGCCCTTTGGTAGTTGTCATACTGCCTTGCCCCTGTTTCCTGTATTTCTACATTGTGATATACAGATCTCTTATAAAAGATCTCTCCTCCAGTTTTATTTGGGTGTCTTTTTGGTAAAGTTTTCACTTAACAGCTTGATCCCCTCTATCATTCAGAGACAAGAAAGAAAAAACTGCCAAACACCGGGAAACCAAAGTTGATAGAATGATATAATTTAAACTAAATAAAGTGATCTACTATGCCAGAAATCACTTTAGAAATGAAAATGGCAGGAAATATAATGTGGTCTGTGAGTTTGAACTGAATTAAGAACAAAATAATACTATTCTGGTGACTTCTCTCACATTTCAGAATAATGTCAGCTCTGTCTTATGAAGACATTTCTCATTCACAGAAAAACACAGAGGTAGCTCCTAAGCCCCCTTAAACTCTGGAATAGATTTTGCTTCGTTTATTTACTGGCACTCAGTATCAAGTCAACAGTTTCCTGCCTGCTAGTAAAATGTACCATTGAACTACATCTAAGCCTGTGGTTGCTATTTTCAATAATGCAAAGTGATTATTAGGTCCTAGCGATATACAAGTACGTGTTCTGATTACTTTATAATTGTGAGTTTACTTAATAATTCCTATTGTCTATAAAGGTAACCATCATTATTATAAATGACAAAGCCAAGGCAACTCTGTGACTGGTTCATGATTGTGGCACACAGCAGCTCCATGTGTGAGCTGAGTTCCATGCTTATGACCATAATGCCATGCTCTGAAGCCCTAAGCACTCAATTTTCTCATAGAAGCCCTCACATGTGGGTTAGAGTTGACCAAACATCTGAACAGTCCTGCATGTTACCTTGTTTTTCTCTTGCATATCAGCTAGACAATAATGGCTGCAGCACACAAGAAGAAGACATCACTGAGCTTCAATTAAAGGAAAAAACATTTGAAGACCAGTATCTTCATGTGAATGCAAAGATTACAGAAGAAGGGACAGGTGTGTGAGTAACCTGAGAATATAGAAAATGAAGCTGTGAAAGTTCACACCTGCTCACGCCAATGGCGGTTTGAACCATGTAGAATAAGGGTGTAGAAAGCAAGCAATTCCTCTCTAACTGGCCTGGGTTTCAATGCTGTTGCTAATTTCTCTTTCAGGATTGGAGTTCAGTGGATCTGGATCAACTAAAATTGAAAGAGCAGCAATCAAACTCATATTTGTGAAAGCAGATTCACACTTTAAACAAGGGATTCCATTCATTGTGAAAGTAAAGTACTTTTTTATTCATAGATGACTCAGCTGTATTGTGAGGCCTCAACCTAGGCCATTCTGCTCAGTGATAAACATGTCTGACATCACTGGTTGCAATGCAAGAATTTAGCTTGCTGGTAGAGTTTGTACCTCAATTGCAGGTGTCCAATTCCCAGAAATAAACTGAACACTTAGAAAAATTATCAAGAAGCCCCAAATCTAAAGCATATGTAGCAAAATTTTTATTTCTAACTACTGTCCTTGAAAACCTTAAACCCCAAAGTGTCACTGTGTTTTCACAATGAAGCAACATATGCTCCATATTCATAATGAATCCAAGCTCTCCTTTAGCCTCAGGGCCCTAAGGAGCTTTTATTTTGACTGTGTGAGTGCATCTGCCTCCCTTCATCCACACCATGAAGTCATGGATGGTTTCTTGTGAAGAACAGGCGAGTAGGAAGCACCTTTTATTGAGTTGTGTTAAGACTATGACACCTTCAGCCTCAGGCTTTCACAGCACATCCAGTTCTTCTGGTGCAGATCTTAAAGAGTTAGATGTGGTGATAACTGGCCTGAGAACCTGTAACAGTGGCCATGCATTTTGGGTGTGGTTACAGGTGCAGACATAACCAGGTAAAGGTGAGGTTTCGGGGAGGGGGGGGCAGTGACAGCCCCATTGGTTGCAGAGAACACAACAAAGGCAGTGTGTGCATCCTTTGAGCAGGGCTGTAGACATTCACTCACTGTTAACTGTGTAAATCCATCCCCAATAAAACACCATTTATCATTGATTCTTGGGTCTAGTGAATCCATAATTTCCACACCTTCAGTTAGATGTTTGTAAAATATTTTCTTGCACGCTGTACTAGTTGCTGCATTTTTGAGATCTTTATATAATATGGAAACAGGTTTTTCTCTTAATTCTATGTAGTATCTTCATACCTAGACTATACCTTTCTCCCTTGTTCAATTTAGGTCCGCCTAGTAGATGTCAAGGGAGCTCCCATCCCAAATGAAGAAGTCTTCATCAAACCCCGGGAACTTGACTACACCAATGTAACGACCACTGATCAGCATGGCCTGGCAGAGTTCTCTATCAACACCACCAACTTTGATAAGCATTCTCTCACTATCAAAGTAAGTCAGGAATGAGGGCATTAGACACATGGTGGAGCTTTGTAACAGCTTGAACTCATTAATGTGTAGTGTAATGAAAAAATGTTCCCATGCCAAACTTTCTTATTTTAGGGCAAAACATATAAGGTCTCTGATGAGTAATACAAGTATGAGCAAAGGGCTATAGAAATAGGTACATGCACCATAAATGCACTACTTTTAAAACAATATTTTTCACAGTCTCTCTTATTTTGCTTGTCTTCTCTATATCTCAAGTCAGGACTTTCAAGCAAGAATGAATAAAAGAACATCTTTATCTATTCAGTCATGGATACGTGCTGTCTAACCTCCAATTCATTGTTCAGATATGCTGTGCCCATTTTCTCAACCAAGGGACAGTTATTGTTGTAACTGAATATGTTTGGTGCTACACAGTTCCTGCTTTAGGCAGGCAGGCAGGCAGGCCTACACACATGCATGCATGCTTTCACAGGCACTTGCTCATACACACACACACACACACACACACACACACACACACACACACACACACACACACACACTTAGAGGGTTCCTCTAGTGTAGGAAACTCATCCAGTCAGAAGATAGAAGATAGGTTTATCTGGTAAAATCATATGATGGTCATACTGTCATTATTTAACAGCCATAGACTCAGTGCCCTGAAGTCAGCCCTGCAGTGCTTCAGACATTGTCTTAGCTCAGCTAGTGGCTTAGGCTTCGACTCACTCTTCTGATGGACCATCTACCGTCCTCTTCTGGTGGCCTGTCTCCCTTCCTCTTCGGATAGCCCGCCTACCTTGATCTCCTTCACTGGGTCTCAGATGCAACAAGTTCACCACTATACTTTCTTCTCCTTAGATTCCTGGTGGTTCTTGAAATAAAGCAAAATAATTAGTTTTCCTTTTTTCTTTCATGGTTTTACTTCAGGTTTCTCCTCCTTCTCGTCCTCCTGCCCAGCCCACTTCTCCTTTCCCCTCCTCCTTTGAGTGTATTACTTTTGTTGGTTTGTTTGTTTGTTTGTTTGTTTTTAGTTCTAGTTAGGGAACAAGCTTATTTCAAGTCCCTTCTCCCTCTCCCACCCCTCACTCCCAACACTTCTGCCCCCAATAGTCCGCCTCCCACATTCCCGCCACAGGCTTCAGATGTCCAGTGCTGTTCCTTGACTTTCTTTCTCATGCTTGGGCCTCCTTTCCTTTCTCTCCGATTCTGTTTCTTTTTTGTTTTCCCTGCTCTCCCTTTTTTGCTACTTTAGTAATAAAATTCATCTCTATATCTTTTTTCATTCTTAAACCACATTTTATTGTTTGTGGATTTCACATCACGCATCCCAATCCCACTCATCTCCCTGTCCTCTCACTTCTGACCTCTGTCATTGAAACCACCTCCAAAATAGAAACCCAAAAGTTAAGTAAAACAAAAACAAACAAACAAAAAACAACAGGAAAAAAACCCACCCAAAAATCAGAAACAAAAAAATTTAAGTGCTCATTGAAATGGGTCATTGGTCTGCTTCCAGACCTCTGGTTTCTGTACGCTATCAATAATGGGCCCTCACTGGGACTCTTCTGGGATGTCCTGTTGTTGCCTTATGTCATAGAGATCCTGCAGGTCTGGCCCCTTCACATGCTCCAGAAGTCATAGATGGGTTGGGTGTTGGGGTGGGCTAACTCATTGTCCTGGTTCTGGGCCTGGGTGGTAGCTGGGTTGGTCAGCCAACCAGCTTTCCCTCATCATCACCACCCAGGTGAGCTCTCCAGCACTGCCTCTGCTGGCTCAGCCACTGTAGCAGACAGCAAGGAGCAGGGCCAGTTCTCCTGTTCTCATGCCCTGACTCTGGTTCACCTGCATTCACACCACCAGGGCCAGCTCTACTGTTTTACCCATGCAAAGTACAGGACCTGCTCTCCAGATTGCTGCACTTGGTGAGGGGCAGGACCAGCTCTTCTGTTCTCAGGCCCCTGAGGGTGGTTCTTCCACCTGTCATATGTGACAAGAGTGGGGAATAGGACATTTTTCCTTCATCCTTTCTACTCCTTGGCATATGAGGGAGTAGGCAGGGGTAGCTCTCCTGCTCTCAGTTCCACAGGTCAGCTCACCTGCAACCGCACTTACAGGGTCAGTTCTATTGTGCTGCCAGGGGTAGGTCTGTATGGGCCTAGTATCAACACAGCCCTCCAACAACATGGACACAGGTAGAGGCCCAGATCATGGGCATCAGTGTGGTCTTTGTTGGCAAGATGGGCCACGGACATCAGTAGAGACTCAGGCTGCAGCAGGACCATGGACCCAGACATGGTCCTAGGCAACAGCCTGGTCCAGATGTTGGCTTTACAGATCACCCAGATAGGTGAGGCCCCTGTGGTAACATGGCCCTCAAACACCTTATTCCCAGGTGGTAGCCCAGACCCCTGTCATCAGTTCAGCCTTCCATGGTAATAAGAACCACGGACATCAATAAAGACTCTCTGTGATAGGCCCACAGATCCAGATATGGCCCATGTTCTGCAGTTTGGGCCCAGACAATACTATGGCCTTGGGAGGTAGCACAGGACACCCAGGTCTGTATGTCCCAGGCAACAGTTGACCTTCGAAGATCAACATGACCTCAAGTGTTGGCCCAGACTTCAGGGCTCCGCATGGCTTTCGGTGGCAAGAGGAGCCACAGATATCGACTTAGAGTTGGGCCACAGGCGGGCCACGGACCCAGACATGGCCTCCAGCAGCAGTGCAGCTCAGACATTACCACAGTCCTGGGTAGTAGCACAGGGCTCTTTGATTGGCATGACTCCTATGGGGGTTCATCCCTCAGATGTGGAAATGGTCACAGGTGGTGGCTCAGGCTTGGGCTGTCTACTGGCCCTCAGTGGTAACAGGAGCCACAGACATCAGCACAGACCCTCAAGGCTGCATCAGAACCATGGACCAAGTCAAGGCCCTTGACAGCATCCAGGCCTGGAAAACACCATGGCCCTGTGTTGCGAGCAGGCATCTAATCAGCCCGTTCCTCGCCTCCCACTTCAACTCTGTATTCGCTCACTACGAAGTTGCTGCCAGGCAGGCTCATGCTTGGTTTCTTCCTGCCCCAGGTCTAGAAACCTGGGGTGGAGCTGTAGCTGTCCTCAGTGCTCCAGACAGGCCTAGAAGTGCCAAGAGGCTCCTTTCTCTACTTTTTAGCTCAAGGGTTCAATTTATGTTTTATCTTCACCTTTCTATTGATTGTAATTGGGGATGCAGTGTGTCTTTTGAATTGTTTTGTATAATATTCATACATTTCCTTTGCTTTGGTGTGGATGAACTTTTTGAAATTTCCTTCATGTTCCTGAGGTTTATTGGAGATCAAGTCATTCAAATAAGGCTATTCATTAAGAAAATTTGCTAATAAGAGTAGATGTCTTGTATCTATCGTCAGAGATATACAAATTGCAACATTAAAATAGAAGAAATATGAAAAACAAAACATAACTTACCCCAAATCTCCTCATTTGCTAGTTCCTGAACTCAAATCTATTGAAGCACATGAAATGTTATATAAATAATTTATAAGTTTCATTTTTTAAATGATTAATGACAAAATGTGCTGTTTCTCCAGGTCTACCACAAGGAACAAAGTTCGTGTTTCCATGAGCTTTGCCTAAATGAACACACAGAGTCACTCCATGTGGCTCATAGTGTTTACTCCTTCAGCCGGAGCTATATCCACCTAGAAAAGGACGCTGGCGTCTTACCCTGCAGTCAGACTCACAAAGTTCGGGTGCATTTTCTTGTGAAGGGTCGAGTCATAATTACGATGAGAGACCTTACTTTTTATTACCTGGTGAGATCTAGCCCCACGTTGACAAACACAAAGAATCTTTCCATCTCCTGACCATGACTCTCCTCCTGATATTTTGGGTTCCAGGCTGGGTATTTCTGTCTGAGTCTCAAACAATAGATTTTTCAATTAGAAGAAAGCCTTGTAAAATACAGATGTAAGCTTGGAAAACACTTTTTGTTTTAGGTCAAGGCCAAGGACAGCATTATCCAGACTGGAAGCCACACTCAAAGCATGGAGCCTGAAAAATGTGAGTGATTCCCACCCAGTAACAGGTCTCCAGCTGAATCCCCCCAACACTCACCAGTGACATCTCAACACTGAGCAGCTAAAGATGCCATGAAGCTTGTGTGTCACCCACACACTCGCCACAGTGGGAAGTCAAGGTTCTGTTATCTAATGTAGGTTATCACTTACACCATGACTTTCAGGAAGAAAAATTCTCTGAATCCCAAACTGGGTATCATTCAACATGTTGAAATATTTATTCTGAAGATGTAACATCTGAATATAAGATTCACCCCAAGTGAGGAATCTATGCATTTACACACAGATTATCACCATCAAGTCAAAATAGGTTATCCTAGTGTCCGTCCAAAAAATAAAAAATCTGGGGATTTTAGCCTTGGTCTTTAAACCATTCTAGGTACACCAATTTTTATTCATTTGAGTCATTTTTATTGTTTTAAACTGTGGGGCATATGGGGGGATGGAGAGTCTTTATCTGTGTGTGCATCTTTTTTGATTAATTTTAGTTTGAAGTCCATTTTGTTAGATTTTAGGATAGGTCCACCAGCTTGTTTCTTAGGTCCTTTTGATTGGAAATTTTTTTCTCAAATATTTACTCTGAGGTAATGTCTGCCTGTGTGGTTTGGGTCTGTTTGTTGTACACAGCAGAAGAATGGATTCTGTTTTCATATCCTATCTATAGCCAATGTCCTTTTATAGGTGAATTGAGACCATTGATATTAATGAATATTAATGTTCAATGATTGCTAGTTCCTGTTACTTTATTTTTGTTGGTGGTGATGTCATTGTGTATTCACTTCCCTTCTTTGGGATTTGCTGCTGTAAGCTCATCTATTGCCTGTGTTCTTGTGGATGTAGTTGACTTCCTTGGACTGGTGTTTTCCTTGGAGCAAGTTTTGTAGGGCTGGATTTGTGGATAGGTATTGTTTAAAATGCTTTTATCGTGGAATATCTTGTTTTCTCCATCTATGGTTATTGTAAGCCCTTCTGGGTAAAGTAGTCTGGGCTGGCATCTCTGGTCCCTTAGTGTCTGCATAACATCTATCCAGGGCCTTCTGACTTACATTGTTTCTGTTGAGAAGTCAGGTGTAATTCTGAGAGTCTGCCTTTATATGTTACCTGGCCTTTCTCCTTTAAAGCTCTTAATATTCTTTCTTTACTCTGCATGTTTATTATTTTGATTATTATGTGGTGAGGGAACTTTTTTTTGGTCCAGTCTATTTGGTGTTCTGTCTCTTCTATTTTCATAGGCGTGACTTCTATAGGTTGGGGAAGTGTTGTATTCTTCTACGATTTTGTTGAATATATTTTCTGTGCCTTTGAATTAGACTTCTCCTTCTTCTATATATATCATTCTTAGGTTTTGTCTTTTCAAGCTGTCCCAGATGTTCTGCATGTTTTCTATTAAGGATTTGTTGGATTTAAAATTTTGTTTGACCAATGAGTGTATATCTTCTACAGTATCTTCAACACCTGAAATTCTTCTGTCCCTTAAATTCTGTTATTTACACGTGCTTTTGTGGTTCCTGATTTCCCAGATTTCCATTTCCAGAATTCCCTCAGTTTGTCTTTTCTTTACTGCCTCTATTTCAGATTTCAAGTCTTGAATCATTTCCTTCACTTGTTTGATTGTTCTTTCTTGGTCTTCTTTCATGGATATGTTCATATCTTCCAGTATTTTGTTTGTGTTTTCCTCCATTTCTTTAAGGGAATTTTTCATTTCCTCTTTAAGGGCCTTAACCACCCTCCTAAAGTTATTTTTAGGTCATTTTCTTCTGCTTCATCTGAGTTGGGATGCTCAGTTCTTGCTGTTGTAGCAACACTAGTTTCTAGTGGTGCCGGTATTGCTCTTTATATCATTGAGTGTATTCTTACCTTGTTGTCTATGCATCTCTTCCTCTAATAATTGGTGTAGGTGCAGCCTGTGTTTAGGGAGGTCTCTGTTTCTCTAATTGGTATAGTTGGGGGCTGTGGCTCCGTTGACTGCTCCTTCAGGAACAAGTAAATCAGAGTCTCTTGTGAATGCTCTTCCCCATAGAAGTGGGCCCAAGGCTCAGGTGGTTGCTCCTTGAGGTCCAGGTAGGGCTAGAGTTCCAGTGACATCCTCCCATTGAAGGAGAGACCACAGCTTCAATGATTGCTCTTTTAAGTGTAGGTGGGACCGAGGGTCCAGTAGATGATGTAGCAGTGCGTTATCTCCACCTGAGAAACGGCAGCGGATGCTGGCTGGGACACAGGTGCTCTATCCCAGAGGAACTTCTTGCCATAGTTTCTGTAAGATACTGCTGGAAACAACTGCTGTCGTCTCACCCAGTGGTTGCTCCCTATTCCTGGGCCTAAGACTTGGGCCTCCCCCTGATGCTGCTCCTGGACCTGAGCCTCAGGCCTCCTTCTGATGCTGCTTCAAGGCTGGGGTTTGCCCTCCCACTGATTTTCTGTTTCTGTTCAACAGGTATTTCATGGATATCAACAAGGCATGGCATAGCAAATTGTGGTAAGACTATGCACCTCCTTTTTAGTATGGCTGGGAAAGGCAACTCAGTATGAGGAATAGGTTCCCAAGAGCCAGCCAAACATCAGGGACAGCCCCTTCCCACATTGTTGAGAGTCCCACTAATAGACAAAGCTACACAACTCTCACATATTTGTAGAGGGGCTAGGTTGGTACCAACAGGCACTCTGGTTAATGGTACAGAGTCTGTAAGTATTGTATGAGACAGGTTAGTTGATTCCATGGATTTTCTTGTGATGTCCTTGACACCTCTGGTTCCTACAGTCCTTGTTCCCTCTCTTCAGTGGGATTCCCCAAGCTCAGCCTAATGTTCAGTGTGGGTCTCTGCATCAGTTTCCATCGGTTGCTGGATATAGACTCTCTGATGATGATTGGGGAAGTCACCAGTCTGATTACAGGAGGAGGCCAGTTCAGGCTATATATCCACCATTTCTAGAAGTCTTAGCTGAGGTCATGCTTCTAGATTCCTGGGAGTTTCCCTTGCACAAGACTTCTACCTGACCCAAATTGTGCCCCTTTGCAGTCATCTGTTTCAACTCCCTCCCTCCATCCAAACCCAACACTACTCCTCAAGTTCCCACACACCACTATCCACCCACAAGGTCTCTTCTATTTGCCTTTTCCAGGGAAAACCATACCTCCCATACACCTTTGGGCCCTGCTTGTTATCTAGTGTCTCTGGGGCTATGGATTGTGGCCTGGTTATCCTTTACTTTATACCTAATATCCACTTATAAGTGAGTACATATCATAATTGTCTTTCTGGGTCTGGTACCTCACTCAGGACGATTTTTTTTCTAGTTCCTTCGATTTACCTTCACATTTCCTGATGTCATTGTTTTTAACAGCTGAGTAATACTCCACTGTGTAAATGTACCACATTTTTCTTTATCCATTATTCAGGTGAGGGGCATCTAGGTTGTTTCTATGTTCTGGCTACTATGAATAAAGCTGTTATGAATATTATTAGTTGACCAAGTGTCCTTGTGGTATGATAGAACATCCTTTGGGTATATGCCCAAGAGTGACATAGCTTGGTCTTGAGGTAGATCAATTCCTAGTTCTCTGAGAAACCACCACATTGATTTCCAAAGTAACTATACAAGTTTGCACTCCCACCAGCAGTGCGAGAGTGTTTCTCTTGCTCCAAATCATCTCTAGCATTAACTGGCATTTGTATTTTTCATCTTAGCCGTTCTGACAGGAGTCAAATGAAATCTCAAAGTTGTTTTGATTTGCATTTCCCTGTTCAACTAAGGATGTTGAACAATTCTTTAAATGTTTCAAAGCCATTTGAGATTCTTCTGTTGTTCATTCTGTTTAGATCTTTACTCCATTTTTAATTGAATTATTTGGTTTTGGTTGTCTAGTTTCTTGAGTTCTTTATATATTTTGGAAATCAACCCTCTGATGGATTGGAAATTGGTGAAGGTCTTTCCCATTTTATAGATGGACGTTTTGTCCTATGGACAGTGTCCTTTCCCTTACAGAAGTTTTTAAGTTTCATGAGGTTTGTTAATTATTTATCTCAGTGTCTGTACTACTGGTGATCTATTCAGGAAGTTGTCTCCTGGTCCAATGTGTTCAGGCTATTTCCCAATTTCTCTTCTATCAGGTTCAGTGTAACTGCATATTTGCAGAGATCTTTCATCCACTTGGAATGTAGTTTTGTAATAGATATGAGTCTCTTTGCGTTCTTCTACATGCCATCACCCAGTTATTCCAGCACCATTGTTGAAGATGCTTTCTTTTTTTCCATATACAAAGCATTTCAGTCATTCCTACTCCTCACTAATTTCCTCCAGCTCCTCCCTGACCCTCTCTGCCAGGCCTCTTCCCTACTTCATAGCTTTTTAACCTATTGGGCCATAAATGGCATGGGGCCATCCACTGAAACATTGGCCATGTAACAGGAGCTGCATGCCTGAAGAAGTCTGATGCATCCTCCCCTCAGCAGCCATCAAGTGTCAATAACTCGTCAGCTAAGAGTGGGTCTCCATGAACCCCTCCCCGTAATACAGCAATGTTGATTGGTTGATGTTGTAAAGTCTTGGGCAGCTAATCATAGCTGCTGTGACTTAAAGAATGAAATCACTCTCTCAAATCCTGATGGTTGCTCAGTTCTACTTGGCTCAACTCTCTCTCTCTCTCTCTCTCTCTCTCTCTCTCTCTCTCTCTCTCTCTCTCTCAGTTGTGCCTCTTCCACCTGCTCCTATTAAAATCCCAAGTTGCCACTGAATCCTGGTATTCTCAAGATTCAACTTCTGGTCATCCTTTCCTTCCCAAATAACACTACCACAGGCTACTGTATTTTTTATAATTTACCTAGTCATCTCCCTTTTCTTCTCATTGCAATATCGACTGCATGAAACACATAAATTTATGTATGTAGTTTTACAGAGATCTTTCAAGTGATTTTTAGAAGTAGTAGATATTTGGTAGCTGTTCACCAAATTACTGGAAATGGGCCTCAAATCACTGAAAAATTAAAAAAACTATTTTGCTATTTAATAAAGTATCCAGTTGGTTCTTGAATGGACACTAAATGGAAATCATAGCACCCATCTTGAGAAGGTTTATAGATCTCCCCAGGTTCACCAGAAACGATAACAGAGACTTCTAAATGGCATAATTTTTCTCTGAAGAAATGTAAATAATATGAACATTTAGTTGAGAAAAAAGAGTTTACCTACAAAGATATGCTTAGAATTTTCAAATGCTGCTTGTTCTTCTGAAATCTCATGACTTATCAGCTCCCCATGTACCAGATTGCCAACCATATTATCCTCCCTCTTATTGGAATAATAAAAGAAACATCAGTCAAAGTTGTTTCATCCCTTTTTATAAGAGGAGTGTTTAGCAGATGATGTTTGGGACATTAGTGTGTAAAAGAGATAAGAGTTAGTATATAAGTAGGTATAAATAATCAATATAACTTACCATGGAAACATCTTGATGGAAGATATCTTGCTCTGAGTGTCCCATACCTCCTGAGATCATTAGCATATGAACAATTAACCAGAGAACAGACCAGATGTAAGAATGTTTTCCAGTCAATATTCTGACCCATAACTCGCACTTCCCATTCCCTCCAGCTCCAGTAAAAGGAGACTTTGACCTACAGATCCCTGGGGAGTTGAGCATGGCTCCTGTGATTAGCGTACTCGTCTACACCATCTTTCCTAATGGAGAAATAATTGCAGATTCTGCAAAATATTATGTTGAAAAGTGTCTTCTCAACAGAGTGAGTAATGTGTTTCTTAAAATTTCTATTTAAAAAGAAAAAAAAATGTCTTAAGGATGCAGAGGGTCAGAATCTGGAAACAAATATGCACTCAGAGGTGGAGGGTGACTGACCAGGCAGGCTTCAGGGCTGCAAGAGCAGGAAGCCGGCTAAGCTTGATTCCCCTTCCCACAGGTGGATCTGATCTTCACCCCAGCCCGAAGTCTTCCAGCCTCACAGGTCCATCTGCAGGTCAGAGCTTCTCCTCTGTCCCTCTGTGGCCTGAGGGCTGTGGACCAAAGTGTGCTGCTTCTGAGACCTGAAGCTGAGCTCTCCCCTTCCTGGGTGAGTACCCATCATCCTCTGTCCAAGAAAGGCCAGTGGTGAGGCTCTGAGATGCTGGTTCTGATAAATCAGGTCATTCAGACACAAGGGCTCCTTAATGTAAAAATACTACATGTAATGCTAAAGGCATCGCTCAGTGAGTTCTTGTTATAAAATCCAGAAGAACTGCTCAAACACTTCAGCCAATAAACTCAAGACCAAGCCTGAAGTCAAGCACTCTGAGTTGTAAACCTTGTGAGTGACCCAGGCGCTCTGTGTCTTACTGCACCTCTCCTGGCACAGGAGTGGCTAGAGTCGTAAACCTTGTGTGTGACCCAGGCTCTCTGTGTCTTACTGCACCTCTCCTGGCACAGGAGTGGCTAGCCCTCATAACACAGTCATGATGGAGCTTTTCAGAAAGACGCTGTCTGTGGGATACAAACCAAACAGTTTATACAAATGGAACTCTCAAGAGTTCCCCAAATAAGAAAAAGATTGGATGGTTTAAAATTTAAAAAAACAGAGTATAAGGAGGCTCTCAACTTGTTTTGAAAATTCTCAGCTATGCAACTTGTTGTGCCAGGTTGGTGAAGCCCAGAGACTAACCCAAGGAGTCGACACTCTGATGCAAAAGCAAAAGGTTTCTTTTCATTTCAAGTTGGCCAACTAGGATCTCACTGCATGGCAGGCAAATGAGATGTCAACCAGTCAAAAAGAGAAGCTTTTAAACAGGAAGACCATAAGGTTGAAGGCACAAATTACAGAGTTTCCGTGGTTACTTAATAGCATACAAAGTACAGAGTTAGTCAGTAACTATACATTTTAAGGGAGATACATTTGACTGAGATAACATAGGGCATGGGCTATCAGGGTTACAGGGTCGCAGGATCTGTCAGTGATCCCCTGGGCTGGGGGATCTTTATGACCAGCAATTAGCAATGTTAACAGGAGTGGTGGACAGTTACCTCCACTTCCCTGACAGTAGGGGATCTGGCACTAGCCATGGCACTCCTGATTTGAGGAGTAAATTTTCCTTTACCATTAGATGTTCCCTTTTCAGGACCTAAGTTTTCAAACTTTTATTAATTTTCATTTTTGATTCCTCACAACAGAAACCATAAACTATATACAGGGTCTCACCTAACTTAACCATAGCAAAACTCTTCTTTATATTGAAATAAGAATGGGATTCGTTAAGAAAAATTACATGTTCACTGTAATTGTTTAAAAAAATTTTCTTCATGTTAACTAATATCAACTAGCTAATATCGTGTTTTAAGATGTATGTAAGGTGCATATGTAAATTTAAAAACAGTAATCATTAGTCCAGATCATGTTGTGACAATATTGGCCCTTTATCATTTTAACATCATCTGTTCATTCTTCTTACTATAAAGTAGCATATTGAAGCTGATTAAACAGACCCTCCTGTCTTCATCTTGCCCTCAAATCTATATGAGTACTCTGTAAAATCTGTACTGAGTTTTCTTTGTATAATCAGAAAATATGGCTCCTTATTGAGTCAGATAGTGTGCTGTAGTCATATCTCCTCTCATTTGTATTCATGTGTCATGACATTTAATCATTCCTCTTTATATTTGCTTTAGGGTCATCCTCCTAACTTGGTTTCAGTTCTCTAGTGTCTGTGGCAGTTCTCAGTTCTACTCTTGTCCCCAGTGGAGTTCTCTGTCACCCTGCTCTCATCCTGGATGACATCTGCAGTCCAGGTGTTCACCCCTATTTTGGGGAGTCCCTTCAAATTCCCTATTTGGTTCACTATTTTCTGACTTCCTGTGACTCCTTTTGGAGTGCTGCCTCCCTGGGACATTCAGCATGTGTAGTACTGTTCTGAGAAGAGGGAATCACAGACGAACTTCTTTTGCAGCTATGAGTATCTACACTTATGGTAATAATTAATACTTTGAAATGGGACAAACCATCAGATAAGAAATCATGTTCCCTGAGAACTCTGGAGACATTGGGTCTATGGATTTATATCTTCCTAAGTTAGTGTTACAATGCTCGATGCCATTAATTCTACATCTTCCTATTTGTTCAGTGTTTCCTCTCTGGAATCTCTTCAGGTCTTTTATTTATAACTGATGTCCAGAATATTGAGTAAATCATCTAATATCTTTCTTTTGCCCCAACTGTCCTTTGGGTTTTCTATTTTTTGAGCAAATTCCTTCAAATGTACCTCTCATATTTTTAAATATTTTGTTGCAAATTAGCTTTATGTCCATACCTATTTTCTCCTGCTCTAGATTTTAGATAGTCTTGAGTTTGCTGCTTTGATACAATGTTTCCTACCTCTTAAGAATGGTATATTGTTTATTTCTTCCTTTCTTTTTACTTTGGAGGTTTTTGATTTATTATTTGGTTTCTAATTACTCTTCCCTCAAAGCTCCTATCTCTGCTCATGTTGGTGTCTGTCACTAACACTGGAACTCTGCAGAAGAACTGCGAGTCTATTCATAGAGAACTGAAGCTGGTCCTGTGGTCTGTCCTGGGGTGATGCTGTCTGTCACATGACTGGCTGGGTTGCTGCTTTATAAGCAAGTCAGTCGGCTCCTTAGAGAGAAGCCACAATGGCAAACGTCAGTTTGTAAGCTTTTTTTCCCCAGAGTCATTACCCTGTCCCAAGAACAAGTTCATGTCTCAGAGACCCAGGTTTGGACTAGCCTGGGCTAACATTCTTTGGTTTGCTGTTTTCCTCACACATCTCCACCAAACCTTGCCTTCAGGGACTCTGACCTCCAATGCCCAGGCTGGGTTCCCTGCAATCTGGCAAAATTGCTTGTATGTCATTAACGTCTCCAATGGCAGCACTTCGGTTTGGACATGTAACCTGCAGGCCCTTTACCTCTTTCTAATTCCATGAACTGCAGTTTTAAAGTTTGGATGCACCTTTCCGCCAAAGATGGAGGTGGCTTGGGTGTGTTTGTTTTGTTTTGAATTTTTTCCCCTAAATTTTAGGAAAATTTTGTAGAGAAATCTTTGTTCAGATCTCTTCAGGTTATCTACATGTTGACTAACTCAACTTTTGTTTTGTTTATTTGTTTTATAGTATAACTAACAGTAGGCTGAAATATACAACTGTGGTATTTTGTATTTCTTGAATGGTTTATATAGTGTAAGCATGTTTCTAAATGTTTAATGTTTTATATTAAATTATGTTAAAACACATCATTCTCAATTATAATATGCAGGATTTACATTCTATTTTTAATAAGTGGAATATGTTTAGTCTTTTTCTACATCTTGTGAACACCTTCAGAATAAAGCACTCTTCAACAGGAAAAATTTAGAAAACCTTGTTTGGGGATCCATGAAAATTCTAGAAGGGATTTGCAGTGATCAAACTGATCATTTCTTTTCATGAGTATCTTCTACAAAAAACCAAGAAAGAGGCTCCCTAGTCCCCTGTTCTTACAGATATACAACCTGCCAGAAATGCGGCAAACTGAATTCATTCCAACTCTAGACCAACTATTTCAAGAGCTAGAACCGTGTGTTGAGACTAACAAGCCCACAGATGAAGTCTTATTGCACCCAGATGAGAAGGATGTCTACCATTATGTGAAGGTAAGCCAGATTGCCCATTAACATTCTGCTCTGTGAATTATTTGGATTTAATGAAATGCCGTATGTGTAAAGTATTCCAGAGTCGGGCCAGGGTTATAAATCACCAGCAGACCACCCACCTTACCTGTGGTGGCTCATGGATTCAAACCCAAGCATTCCAAAATCTGCATCTTGAAAAGTGCTCCATCTAGACACAGACTGGATGAGGGGACATTTTTTTAATTCTGTTTTTTTGTTTTTGTTTTTGTTTTGAAACAGGCTGACAGCTCTGTCTGTCCTGGCACTCATTCTGTAGACCAGTCTAGCCTCAAACTAACAGAGATCTGTAACAACTGTCTCACCAGCCAGTTCCCAAATAAAGACACATAGACTTATTATTAGTTATGAATGTTTAGCCTTATTTAGGCTTGTCCCACTAACTATTATAACTTAATTTAACTTGTTTCTATTCATCTCTACTTAGCTTTGGGGATTTTTACCTTTCTTTCATTCCGTAGGTCCTGCTTTCCCACTTTCTCTGGCTAGCTTTCTTGCTAGCTGCCCCCTGGCATTTCTTTTTCTTTCTCTCTCATCCCCCCTACCTAAATTCCTCTTCCTACTTACTCTCCCTACTTGGAAGTCATGCCTATTCTCTCGGCCTCACTGTTGGCTGTTTGGCTTTTTTTTTTTTTTTTTTTTTTTTTTTTTTTTGTAGGTGTTTTTGTTTTGAAAAAAAAAAAGGGGGGGGGGCAAACAGAGATATACCTGTCCCTGCCTCCCAAGTGCTGAGATTAAAGGCATGTGCCACTGTGCATGGCTGTGAGTGACTTTTAAAATAACAGGGCATTGTATCAGAAAGAAGGCCAGCACATGTGCCTCACTAGGAATTTTGTGCTTCTCAACACACACTGTAAATAGCATAAACAACACAATTTGAATAGAATTCTACTTCAACATTTGAAACTATATCCCAATTAGCTACTATAACTTTTATACACTTTGAGTGTTCTCAGAATTTTGAGATAATTTGCTTGATTTAATAATTTTCTTACTAGGACATGGGCTTAAAGGCATTCACCAACTTGAAGATCAAACATCGTAAATTTTGTCTTCCACTTCCTGACATTTACCCTCCAATAGCAGGTAAAATAACAAATCAGCATATATTTTCAGAATAAAATCAATATGAATTGTTTATCAAGCTGGAAAAAATAAAATTGTAAAGCATGAATAGCATCCAAATAAGAGAGAAAGAACTCAAACTTACCTGAGCAAAATGTGCCCAAATGTATGGTGGTACTACCAGGAAGTTAAAGATTAGAGGCTTTTCCATCAGTGTTAGACAGATAAGACAAAATGCAGTTGTTACTGCAATAGAGACTCATTGTGTGAAGTGTGAAGAACTTCTGCAGACATGTACTAACAGGTGAGGAGAATTTCCTAAGTGTTAGAGACAAAGACCAGAAGGAAAAACCAGGCACTGCAGATAGAGTGAGGACGGTAAAGCAAAGCACTTGAGTCAAGGGTGCTTTCTCACTCTGTCTTCAACCAGCACTAACCATCTTAAACCTTTCCCTCTTCCTGCCATGAGAGTCACTTCCAGAGTCTCTGCACCAGTTTGCATCCCCACCCTCAGCAAATGAGCTCCCCTTTACCCTACATTGTCTCCAATTTTGTTGTCAGTTGTTTTGTTGACTATTCTGACTGGGGTGAGATGAAATCTCAAGTTGTTTTAATTTAGATTTCCTTAATTGCTAGCATGATGAACACTTATTAAATATATTTCTATTTCTTTTGAAAACTGTGTTTAGTTCCACAGCCAATTATTAAATTGGTTTTTTTTTAACTCTTATATAGATTTTTTTGAGTTCTTTCTATAGTCTGGATGTTTGTCCTCTATCAGATGTACAGACAGCAAAGATCCTCTCCTGCTCTGTGGGCTCCATTTCACTCAGTTGATTGTTTTCTTAGCTGTGCAGAACCATTTCAGTTTTGTGAGGACCCAAATGCCAATTATTGACCTGAATTTAGAAATGAATGGATCTTATTTAGAAAAGACCTTTCCTGCACCTTTATTTTGTAGGGTTACTGCTTATGTTCTTTTCTAGCTTTTTTAGATTTCATGTTGAGGTCCTTGATCTATTTGGAGTGGATTTTGGTACAGTGTCATTAATGTGGTCTATTTCCATTCTTCTGTATGTGATCATCCAGTTTTCACAGCACCATTGCTGAAAATGCTGTCTTTCTTCTAGTGTGTGTTTTGGCATCTGTGTCAACTATCAGATGGCTGTAATTACATGAGCTTCTATTTGGATTTTGGATTTTATTCCATTGACCATGCTGGTTTTATTACTATATTTCTGCAATATAACTTGAAAACATGAATCCCTATCTTCATTATTATTTATTGTTTTATTATATTTATATTCTATTATTATTTAGTACTTATTATAAATATTAAAATTTATTTTTTCATGTGTGCTAACATAAAACATAATTTTGACTGGGAAGTATTAATTTTCCCCATACTGATTTGAAAAGAAATCAAAAGATCACAAATTTCTAAAAGCAACAGGACCTATGGCACTGTGACTACTCTAGACCATGGATAAATTGGGCAACTCTCCCTGTAGATGCTTAAGGTAAAGAGTGAAGAACTTAGTCACTAGGAATCACTGAGTAATAGAAAGACGGGTTGCAGTCTGTGCCCATCACAGAGAAGGACCCATAGAAATGAAGCTGTCTGTGTGTGTGTATTTTAAAGGGGGAAGACATTTTCAATGGTGAGATTCAGTTGGGAGATACTGAGGTGAAGCCCTGACTGAATCAGCATGTATACTTGTTCATGGTAGAAGCAGAGCACAGACCCTGTGTTCCCACCTTGAAACCATCCAATTCTCACCAGTATAAATCCAAGAAAATGCTAGGACCAGTGAGTAGTGAACTTCTTTTGCATCACCACCAACAAAAACAAAAACAAACAAAACTACAACCTCTGTATGGACTTTTGCATTGTGTGGATTTCTGATCCAAGAGTTTGTACCTATACCCCTTTCAGTTTTTATTTACATTGAAACCAATTAAAAAATTGGGATAATCCTACAGATCTAGAAATCTTTCGAAATTAAAGGCATTCCAAGAATGTGTCTGCTGATGATGAAGCCATCATTCAGCTCTAGTCTGAAGTGATTCTCATTGTAGCCACAGGATCTGTTGTCTGGGAAGTAGCATTACAGATCCTCATTCCCCCAGTGTAACATTACATTTGGAAGCATTCCCTGACCATCCCACCCAAGAAAATAGGCACCATGTTTCCTTCCAACTCAACTACCTGGGTGATGTTTTCTCCAGGATTTCATGGTTTCCGATTTTTACAAAGACGTTAGCCACTCTCCCCCAAAATGAGACATTCAATGATTCACTTCCAGTGTCATTGTAATAGCATTGAACAGCCAGGAGGAAAATGACAATTAAGCTACATTTAGGCTGCACATTGTGTCCATGTACTCAGTGCTTTGTTCAGGTCTTCCACTGAACCTTCATAGTGCCTTCTCTGGGATTCGATGATGTGACTAACAAAGGAGACTCAAGAACCATGCCCGAAGTAGGACATGAAGATCTAGCCACTGAGACAATTCGAAAATATTTTCCCGAAACTTGGATCTGGGATTTAGTCACAGTAAAGTAAGTAATTCCCATTTGTAGGATTCGGGTTGGGTATGAAAATTCTATTTCTTTGTCTTCCATCATAAACAATAGAAATGCCTAATTCAGAAGACCATAGCACATCAACCCATCAATTATAAAATATATGTGTTTCCATCACTCCCAGAAAATTCATATAAAATTATCATATACCTCTCTGATGCTTAAAAACATTCAGGAACACCATATACGGAGTAGACCATATAAGTCATAAAATGGTCATATAGTGTTTTAGAGATGGGAGTTTAGAGACAATTTTGTAACAAGTGTAAATAAAAACTAGGCGCCAATATGTAACATGAAAAATAAAAGACCCAGAGACTGATATTGGAGTTCAAGCTTGAAGTTGAAGAGCAGGGAAGCAAAGCAGTCAAGCCTGTAAATCTTACCTCTAACTCAGGTTGAAAGAGCAATCCTGTCTCCACGAATCCTCAGAGACAAAAACTCTCAGTTGCTGTCTCCTCCTGCTTCTATTCTGTTCTCCACCCAACCATATTTTCCTGCCTCACCCTCCCTAGTCCTGGGATTGAAGGCATGAGCTCTGTTACTCTTCACTCTTGTGTAGGCCAGGGTGACCTAGAACTCACAGAGATCCATCTGCCTCTGTCTCCTGAGTCCTGGGATTAAAGGATTTTGCCACTGCTGCCTAGCTTCTACAGTTAAGTAGTGTAGGTGGCTTTGCTTTCTGACACTCGAGGCAATATTTATTAAATCTTAAATAATATATCACCACACAACTTCAAATCTATGTTCAGATATTCACTATCATACAGATTTGTGGTGTCATGAAGCCCTGATTTGAGTTGGGAAACAAGACTACAGAAAGACCTTTTATTTTTTCATTTGGAGTCTTTTCACACTTTTCAATTCCTATGACTCCTTTGATGGGCTCAAAGGAGTGGCTTTAGCTCACACTCTTTGTTACCATCTCAGAAATAAATCATTCACACTCTAACTTCCTGCGTTTCATGCTTTCACTTTCCCAGCTCATCTGGAGTGACTGAAATGGAGGTGACAGTCCCTGACACCATCACTGAGTGGAAGGCTGGAGCCCTCTGCCTGTCCAATGACACTGGCCTTGGCCTCTCTCCTGTGGTATCTCTCCAAGCCTTCCAGCCCTTCTTCGTGGAGCTCACGATGCCCTACTCTGTGATCCGTGGAGAAGCCTTCACACTCAAGGCCACTGTGTTCAACTACCTCCCTACATGCATCCGGGTGAAGACCTTTCCCAATTAAGCATCACCAGAGGGGAAGAGGGAAAGTGGTGTGTGTAAAATTTAACTAAGAATTAAATGAAAAGATAGAATAAAGGGAGGAAGAATTGTATTGACCCCTCAGCACTGGTTCCAAATGTTTAAAAAAATCCCCAGACTCCAGCTACGTATGCATACTGCAAAGAGTTGTTCAATAATATGGACACCACATAAAATGCATTAGTTGATTTTGCCACTATTTAAGCAGCACATACTATACTGATAGACACAGGATATTCCATGTGGCCTCTGGATACAATCAAAAGAAAAATACGGTCCCCAAAGATATAGTAAGCTGTTGTCAGGATAAAATGGCAGATTGTTCTACACTGGATTTTCTTTTGTTAGAGACAGATGTATACTTTAACGTAGTATTTAAAAGTCTAGTACAGTAAATATATCTTTGCAATCAAAAGAAAACTGACATAATTAGATAAACATGTAATTATCTCTCTAATCATTTGTGTGGCTAATACATAATGATAGCTAAGTAAAATTCTAGACATGTGTGTGCATATGAAACCTGTGTGAGCCTTCTGTGTCAGCTTATGTGACATTTTAGGCACATGTGTTCCACTCCTAATCTCCACACCCTTTCAGTGACCTCCACACACCCCTGATACCTTGTCCTTCTATGGTGACATCTCTGCTATTTCTTTGCCCATGTGGCACAGGTGGGTGTGCTGCTCGAAGACTCCCCTGATTTCACAGCTGTCCCAGTGGCAAAAGACCAAGATTCTCACTGCCTCTGTGCCAATGGGAGGCACACCGCATCCTGGTTGGTAACTCCCAAGTCATTAGGTGAGTGAAAATTCTGTGACGGTGCTCTATACAGAGAGGAAGAAGGTAGGTAGGATGCTCAACTTGCTTCCTTCTCATTGGGTCCCTAAGCTCTGGGTCCCCTCTGCTTCTGGCACATGCTCACCACATTCTTAAATACAGGACAAACCCTTGAGCTGCTCATAGACCTGAGGATGCTTTGCAGATCTTGGGGTTTGGAGGAGGCGAAGTTCCTGTCTCATCTTAGCTCAGCTCTAACTGTGTTTCAGGGAATGTGAACTTCTCTGTGACTGCGGAAGCACAACAGTCCCCAGAGCCTTGTGGTTCTGAGGTGGCCACAGTTCCTGAAACCGGGAAAAAGGACACAGTTGTCAAAGTCCTGATAGTTGAGGTGAGAAACCTCTCTTGATTGACAGTGAGCTAAGAATGGAGCAATGCTGACTATGCTTAGATGAAAAATAAAAGATATAACGGATGACCTTGAGACACTTCAAGGCATAGGCGAACTCCTGCTTTTAAATCAGTGTGTGTTCTGTTGTCTCTCCCTTCCCATTCTCTTAACTGGAGCTGGGAGGAGCTGGGCTATGCCAGTGTGTCTCCTTAAGCACCAACTCTTTCTTCTGATCCTATTATGACCCCCTCTTTAGTCTATATTGTCTTTCCTTATAACCTTCTTTTTGACCTGGCATGCCCAAATTCTCAAACGTTTATGCCATTCCTGCCGTGACGGAAAATTAGGCCATCTAATTCCAGCCCCTGACCCAAAAGTAAAGAAGCTGAGACCTCCAACCAAAATAATAATAATAATAAGACTCCAGCATCTTTGTGTTTGCACACACTGTAATTTCTCATCTAGGAAATTTCTATCTTTTGCAAGCCCGAAGGAATTAAGAAGGAACATACCTTCAGTTCACTGCTCTGTGCATCAGGTGAGAATCCTTCAAAACAACAGTAAGGTAATCACTGACGTCATCTGTTTAGATCTCTTACATTATACCTGTAATAAAACCAGGGTAGTTGAGCAGTTTGCTCTGTTTGTGGGGCCCCTAGCAGTGGGATCAGGACCTGTGCCTGGCACACATCCTGGCCTTTTGGAACCTATTCCCCATGCTGGGATTCCTCACCCAGCACTGATGCTGGGGGTGGGATGGGGGGAGCGGAAGTTGGTCCTGCCTCAACTGGATATGCCATGTTTTGTAGACTCCCATTGGAGGCCTGCTTCTTTCTGCTACTTTATTTTTGGGGGGTGGGGGTGGGGTTGAGACAGGGTTTCTGTGTTGCTTTGGAGGCTTTCCTGAAATCAACTCTTGTAGATCAGCCTGGTTTCGAACTCTCAGAGATCCGCCTGCCTCTGCCTCCGGAGTGCTGGGATAAAAGGTGTGTGCCACCACAGCCCAGCTGATGCCTGTTCCTTTCTGGATGGAAGAGGAGTGGTTAGACTAGAGGTGGGAGGAGGGGTGAAAGGGAAGAGAGGAGAACTGGAAACTGGTTGGTATGTAAAGTAAATGAAAACATTACTCAAAAAAAGAATGAAAACCAGGATACTGTATACCTCATAACCACTAAAAAAATCACAAAACTGAGTCACATCATTTGGCAAGGTCTTTACTTACCAGACACAGTAATCAAGAGTACAGTCAGTTCTACCTGGGATTTCAGAGTTCATTGTAGCACTTTTCTTTAGGACAGAGAAGTGTTTTCATCCAGCCCATCTCAGTACTTAGAAAGTTATAGCTAGGAAATAGCTAAGAAGAGATCACAATCAAAATTTTCCTTAAAAAAAAAGGAAAAATACAAGAATATCTTGGATATGAATGTAGTTGTTTGTATTAGATCATAAATAAAAACAAAGGCTTTATAGCTGAATAATATCCATACATATACCAAGAAAAATTATGATGTGTAGTAAGCATAATATTTTTCCTTAATTTTTGTTTTTATGACTTGGTCTTTCATCTGTGCTCCTCACTGGGTGCACTAATGCAGAGGAAATACAACAACGTATCACAAAGGGAAGCTCACTGTCCCCTATGAGGGGCAAGCATGAAGGCAGACCCTGTCTGCTCACAGAAATGACTATATCACCAACACCTACACTAGTGAGTACTGTAGTACTTGCTCAAAATATATTTGTCAAAAGAATAAAGAAATTGGGATAATAGTTTTAATGTAATGTAAAAGCCATTATTATATGAAAGATAGCAAAAGACATGAAGTTGAGCATATTTCTCTGTAAAAGGGATAAACTAATGTAGCCATTACTAACATGGTGTGCGAAGAAAACTGTCATATAATGCTGAAATCCTTTAAATGTTTTCCATGGAAGGAGCACACTAATTTTTTAAGCATCCAAGGACAGGATAAGAAAAACCTTATGAAGGGACCAGCCCCCCATTTCGACAGCCATGACAGTAACACATGCTCACTATGACCTTGTCTTAGTCACTAGAGGTTAGGTGCATGCCTCGTGACAAGGAACCAATCAGAAGTTAGCTGGTGGCGCTATGCTTTACCACCCTGGGTGTACTGTAAGGACAAGCACACAGCAATGACGCACAGAGCATAACAACCACCCTGGGAGGGTCTATGGGCCATAACAACCAGTTGACCAATCAACACAGGGCAAGCCCTCCAAGCCTGGAGGCACACCAATCGGGAGCTGTGCGTACCCCTAGATACTCCCCTTAAGCTGCCCTACAAGATCTCTCGCAGCCAGTTCAAACTGTCTTTTGTAGCCAATCTCCATGGTGAGTGGACAAAAGACCCGAGCTAACATGGGGTTAGCTCGTTAAATTACAATAAAGCCTCATGCAGTTTGCAGAAACCTCTCAAATCTGCTGGTGGTTGTGGTGACCACAGTTGTGGCCTGGGACCCCTGATACCTGAGTTTTTCTGGGGGTCTAACACTTATTCTTCCCAACTTTCAGTTTTGGTTCTCATGATAATTTTTAATACAAGGCGATCTGGCCATCTCCTGACATAGGAAACCCCTCCATGACAGCAGCATCAGAGATCTCAGTGAGACCTCTTAAGGTAGCTCAGGGAGAACCCAGAAATAACAAAGGCCAGCTCAGCATTTACCCACTTTCTACCTGATAGCTAATTCTCCATACAGAGGGAGCCACTGAAAAAATGCTAACCTTGGATCACAGACAGCTCCTGGTCATAGAGACAGCAACACCATTGTAAAAAGTTAATCCCTAACAGCTGACAGTTGCTGACTGTCAACTCCTACTTTTTCTTAAGTTGCAAATTCACATTCCTATACTTGTATATCCCTATTCCTGGGTCCTTAGCAGAGGCTGAGGGGAGCTCTGCTTACTGGCTTGCTCTCCCTGGCTTACACACTTTGCTTTCTTGTATACCTGACAGAACCACCTGCTCAGAGGAGGCACTCCTTCAGTCACTTAGGCTTAGAAACTCCACCTTGTTCTTGCCCAGGGTCTCTCTAGAAATGGGGGAAGCAACAAAAAAGCAAAGCAGGAAGCAGCTGAGCCACACTGTGGTGTCCACATCCAAGAGGACCAGGGGATGGGAGACTACTTTGGAATAGCAAGAGACACAGGGGGAAGAGAAAGCTGTGCAGTGCTCTCATTGGTCAGTCCTGCAAACCACAGCATATGAGGCCTCTGTGGCTCCAGAGTTACATCCAGTCCTGTGTCAAAGTTCACACACACAAAACAAACAAAACAAAAAACCCTAAGAAGAATATACATAAACCAAAATTCAATCAATAAACATATTTCATGTGTTTATAGTTTCTTCAAAACACAAACAAAGCCTTCCATTCCAGGCTATCAGAGAGAACTGAACTACAAACACAAGGATGGCTCCTATAGCAGCTTTGGTGATCAAGATGGCCAGAGCGAAGGAAACACTTGGTAAGAAAAGTCCACTATCTGCCAGGCGTTGTTCAACTCTTGTTCCCCTTGGCAGCTACACATGCACCATGTTTTATGTAATATGATCGATGACCAGGCAGAAAGGGACAGGTTTGAGGTAGCAGGAAAGGTAAGTAGAGAACTGAAACTGTCTCAAGTCTCATCTGCTTTGGCTCCATTTAATAGGTGGTAACCTATTAATTTAAAAGGTGGGGTTCTCTTTTCTCCAGAAGATCTTTTGTCAGTAATACTTGGCTAAATATCCATGAGCATTGAAAGATGCTCTTGACTGAGACTTGAAAAGGTGTTACCATTCTTCAGGAGACCTTGCATTGCATAGGAATGTGTTCTTGAGATAAAACACACAGACAAACAGGTGACAAATGACATAGAAACTGATGGAAATAGGAGAGGGATGGAATTTTAGAGGCAGGAAACACATGGCAGGGGTTTTAGAAGATTTTTCTTTTCTACAAAAGAAACTCATCTGAAGGGGGGAAAGGTTGAGATGAGGATGCAGGTGTTAGGGAAACACCAGAGTGAGCAAGGGAGAAGCAATGAGAAAGAGAAGCAGAAAGCAGCTGAGTCACACTGTGGTGTCCACATTCTAGAGGACCAGGGGATGGGAGACTACTTTGGAATAGCAAGAGACACTGTCCAGCTATACACACTCAGAGAGCCTTAGACTAACCAAACAGAAATGTGGTTCAGACCCCAGGAAACCTGTGTGTGAAGCCTCTGCATGAGAACAAAAGCCTTCAGCTCCCCACTCTCCCTTCCATATCAGGCTCACAGCCTTTGTGCTCAAGTCTTTTGCCCAAGCTCGAGCCTTCATCTTTGTCGATGAAACACACATCACCCATGCCTTCACCTGGCTGTCCCAGCAGCAGCAGGACAACGGCTGTTTTAGGAGCTCTGGATCGATGTTCAACAACGCCATGAAGGTGACCTATTCTGAACTACTTTTAAGCATGGTGACCTTATAATAACATCTGAAAGTCAGGTCACACTACTTACCATGGTGACGAATAAGCTTCTAGGTTGGGAATGTACTTTTCATAATGGGGATATAAATGAAAGCTTCCTTTGAATACAGAGTGTTGGCCATGAGTGAGGAAGTCATCGTTGATGGACTGCTTGCTGTACATTTTACCTCTTTCATTCCTTTTGTTTTGCAGGGTGGAGTAAAGGATGAAGTGACCCTCTCTGCCTATATTACCATTGCCTTTCTAGAGAGTTCAATCCCAGACACAGTAGGTGCCACACTGCTTCTCCAGAGGGATGGAATTTTAGAGGCAGGAAACACATGGCAGGGGTTTTAGAAGATTTTTCTTTTCTACAAAAGAAACTCATCTGAAGGGGGGAAAGGTTGAGATGAGGATGCAGGTGTTAGGGAAACACCAGAGTGAGCAAGGGGGAAGCAACAAAAAAGCAAAGCAGGAAGCAGCTGAGCCACACTGTGGTGTCCACATCCAAGAGGACCAGGGGATGGGAGACTACTTAAACAGGGGGAGTGAGGGAGGGGAGGTATTGATGTATGATTTACAGAGCATAAATGTCTATATCCTCCATGTTTGTTCCAGGGTCTTCTAGGACCTTTTTCCACATTGCTCACGTTTGACTTCTCTGCCAACAGCATCCCGTTGTCTCCAAAGCCCTGACCTGCCTAGAGTCATCCTGGAAAACAATACAGCAAGGGGGAAACGACAACTTGGTGTACACCAAGGCTCTGCTAGCCTATGCTTTTGCTCTGGCAGGGAACCAGGATAAGAGAAATGAAAGTACAGACTATTTTTTACAATTTCCATTAATAATGTCTTTGACTTAGTTACTGTTTATATTAGCTTATTCTTTCTCTCATGAACTTCTAATGGTGTTTAACAAATCTGCACTTCCCTGCAGAGAAGTTTTCCCAAGGCAGAGAGGAGTATGAAACAATGCAACTGAAAGTCACAACTCAGTATTAAAAGTTAACTTAGTTCACAGCAGCTGTGGGTTGTAACAAGGGGTTACCTGATAGCTAATTCTCCATACAGAGGGAGCCACTGAAAAAATGCTAACCTTGGATCACAGACAGCTCCTGGTCATAAAGACAGCAACTCCATTGTTAAAAGTTAATCCCTAACTGCTGACAGAATTGCTGACTGTCAACTCCTACTTTTTTTTAAGTTGCAAATTCATATTCCTATACTTGTATATCCCTATTCCTGGGTCCTTCATTTCCTATTTCTGGACTTTTCAGTCAGTAAGGCTTAGAAACTCCACCTTGTTCTTGCCCAGGGTCTCTCTAGAAATGGGCTTAGCATGCAGGGGGAAGAGAAAGCTGTGCAGTGCTCTCATTGGTCAGTCCTGCAAACCACAGCATATGAGGCCTCTGTGGCTCCAGAGTTACATCCAGTCCTTCTCTGGCACATTAGTTTCTTCAAAACACAAACAAAGCCTTCCATTCCAGGCTATCAGAGAGAACTGAACTACAAACACAAGGATGGCTCCTATAGCAGCTTTGGTGATCAAGATGGCCAGAGCGAAGGAAACACTTGGTAAGAAAAGTCCACTATCTGCCAGGCGTTGTTCAACTCTTGTTCCCCTTGGCAGCTACACATGCACCATGTTTTATATAATATAATCGATGCCAGTGCAGAGACAGGTTTGAGGTATCAAGAAAAGTAAGTAGAGAACTGAAACTGTCTCAAGTCTCATCTGCTTTGGCTCCATTTAATAGGTGGTAACCTATTAATTTAAAAGGTGGGGTTCTCTTTTCTCCAGAAGATCTTTTGTCAGTAATACTTGGCTAAATATCCATGAGCATTGAAAGATGCTCTTGACTGAGACTTGAAAAGGTGTTACCATTCTTCAGGAGACCTTGCATTGCATAGGAATGTGTTCTTGAGATAAAACACACAGACAAACAGGTGACAAATGACATAGAAACTGATGGAAATAGGAGAGGGATGGAATTTTAGAGGCAGGAAACACATGGCAGGGGTTTTAGAAGATTTTTCTTTTCTACAAAAGAAACTCATCTGAAGGGGGGAAAGGTTGAGATGAGGATGCAGGTGTTGGGGAAACATCAGAGTGAGCAAGGGGGAAGCAACAAAAAAGCAAAGCAGGAAGCAGCTGAGCCACACTGTGGTGTCCACATCCAAGAGGACCAGGGGATGGGAGACTACTTTGGAATAGCAAGAGACACTGTCCAGCTATACACACTCAGAGAGCCTTAGACTAACCAAACAGAAATGTGGTTCAGACCCCAGGAAACCTGTGTGTGAAGCCTCTGCATGAGAACAAAAGCCTTCAGCTCCCCACTCTCCCTTCCATATCAGGCTCACAGCCTTTGTGCTCAAGTCTTTTGCCCAAGCTCGAGCCTTCATCTTCATCGATGAAAAACACATCACCCATGCCTTCACCTGGCTGTCCCAGCAGCAGCAGGACAACGGCTGTTTTAGGAGCTCTGGATCGCTGTTCAACAATGCCATGAAGGTGACCTATTCTGAACTACTTATAAGCATGGTGACCTTATAATAACATCTGAAAGTCAGGTCATACTACTTACCATGGTGACGAATAAGCTTCTAGGTTGGGAATGTACTTTTCATAATGGGGATATAAATGAAAGCTTCCTTTGAATACAGAGTGTTGGCCATAAGTGAGGAAGACATCTTTGATGGACTGCTTGCTGTACATTTTACCTCTTTCATTCCTTTTGTTTTACAGGGTGGAGTAAAGGATGAAGTGACCCTCTCTGCCTATATTACCATTGCCTTTCTAGAGAGTTCAATCCCAGACACAGTAGGTGCCACACTGCTTCTCCAGCTTCCCAAGCTGGTTTAAAACCTAGGGTTTCCTAACCTCTCTAAAGCCAAGTGGCAGATTTCTTTTTTTTTTTTTTACAAAACTTTTGCATTTGACAGATTACATTAGTAAGCATGCTCAATTAGATCCTGGTTATGTTGGAAACATCAAGTGGAAGACACAGCCTGTAATGCTGTCCCTAGCAGGCAGTATTTAAATGGAATGTTCTTTATAAAAAGGAATGGACCCCAAACAGAGGGAGTGAGGGAGGGAGAGGTATTGATGTGTGATTTGAAGAGAATAAATGTCTATATCCTCCATGTTTGTTCCAGGGTCTGCTAGGACCTTTTTCCACATTGCTCAGGTTTGATTTCTCTGCCAACAGCATCCCGTTGTCTCCAAAGCCCTGACCTGCCTAGAGTCGTCCTGGAAAACAATACAGCAAGAGGGAAATGGCAACTTTGTGTACACCAAGGCACTGCTAGCCTATGCTTTTGCTCTGGCAGGGAACCAGGATAAGAGAAATGAAATCATGAAATCACTTGATAATGAAGCTATAAAAGAAGGTAAGAATGTGTGTTATCCACTGGAAGACAAATGTCACACAATTTCAATTTTATGTGTAACCTAGAAATGATGAACTTAAGGGTACAGAGAGTTGAATTGTGGTTAAAACTTATGCATTTGCATCAGTAAAAAAAAAAAAGAAAGAAAAAGAATGTGTGTTATTACGTTTATCTCCATCCACTTCCAGGGAAGGGAAACAAGAGAATAAACAGAGTGTCAAAACAGTATATTTTATTTCTGTCTCTATGGCACACAAAGTCTGTCATTCTCTGGAGCATCAGTTTCTTCAAAACACAACCAAAGCCTTCCATTCCAGGCTATCAGAGGGAGCTGAACTACAAACACAAGGATGGCTCCTATAGTGCCTTTGGGGATCAAAATGGCCAGAGAAAAGGAAACACTTGGTAAGAAAAGTCCACTATGTGTCAGGCCTTGTTCAACTCTTGTTCCCCTTGGCAGCTACACAGGGAAATTAGTTATTTCTTCTATAAGCGAACAATTGCTCTTCAGTGTTTCCTCATAGTGTGACCAAAATCAACAAATGTAATATCAAGGTAGAAAGTATACAGTCCCAACTGTCATTACAAAGATAAATGTAGATAAAAATTACCTTTTCACTCTGATGAGCATATACCCAACCAGGAAGAGCAAAGACTATGAAGAACACACACACACACACACACACACACACACACACACACACACACACACAAAACTTTGCTTCAAGGATTTGTTGTCTCAAATACAATTCTGAAAACATTGGGAAAATTTCCTAATTCATTTGGACTGAATTCTGAGCAAGTGATGCTTTGTTGGGTGTGAGGGAGTTAATGAGTGAAAGAATCTTGTCTGTTATAGTGGTCTCACCAACACTGCTAGAGCATCGTTGAGGATGTATTTTAGTTAACAACTTAGGAACTTCTGTCTTGATATCTTTCTCTGTCATACCGTATGTTGGTTTTTATTAGGTATTGATTAATCAGGGGATGCTGTAGTGAAAAATTTAAAACCTTCTACAAACTTATATTTCCTTTTTTCTAGATGTAGACATAAGTCATTCACTGAATAATCATACCTTTAGTTATTTCTCTGTTTTTACCCTAAGAAAACTCCATCCATTGGGAAAGACCTCAGAAACCCATGCAATCAGAGAGGTCTCTGTACAAACCGCAGGCTCCCTCTGCTGAAGTGGAGATGAACGCCTATGTCCTCCTCACTCTCCTCACTGCCCAGCCAGCCCCAACTCCTGAGGACCTGGATGTGGCAGTACGCATCGTGAAGTGGCTCACAAAGCAGCAGAATCCCCAGGGTGGCTTCTCTTCCACACAGGTCAGTGACTTTCCTCAGAGTCCCCATGCAATGAGGGGATTTGAACAACAAGTGCAGGAACAATAACCAGGGGAAGAAGAGAGAAAAAACAAGGACATA